GTCTCTGGTAGACCGTGGTTACATGGTGATAGCGCACCTTCGTGGTGAGTATATGATTGCTGACCTGTTGACAAAATTGATGAGTGGACAGGTTTATGCAAAGCAAAAGGCGCTTTGGGGTCTCCAAATGTTGGTGCAAGGAACTGACTTGAAAAGGGCCTCTCTTGCAATGGCGGTCATGATGGTGGCTGCATCTCTGCAAGGGATGGCAACTGGTGGGGAAGAAGCGTCGATTGCTGGATTCTTTTGCTCCGAAGAAGGGGTGTGCAGGGTCGCCAACACATCTGCGGTGATGGTTCTGGCTCAAGGTATTGAAATGGTTACCAGCAATGCAGACCTTGTTGCATATTTGGTGGCAGCGATTATACTCTGGGAATTGGCCTGGTGCCTTTTTCGGCGGCTGTATAGATGGCTGTGGGTCAAGAAAGTGGTGGTTATTCCCGCGAGTGCCACTTTGTATACAACGGTGGGTGGAAACTGTATGCACGCAAGCAGTGACTGTGATGTTCTGCGATATTCACAGCCCAGGGCTAAGACGCTTTGTAAGCATTGCCTCAAGGATGGCTGGGTGGTGAATGCTGAGTTCCTTGGTGAGGAACGGGCCGCTGGAACGTAGACTTTTTTCAAATGTGAGGTGAAAAAAATCCTCAATGGTAAGGGATTCGGCCAATGAGCTGAAGGTTCGTCCTGGAAAGACGTTAAACCATAACATGCATTCCAAGCAGCTGGCTGCTGCCTTAATGACAGCTCTTGGCCCAAAAGTCTGCACCTCCAGTTTGTGTCCTAGGAAATCCTAGGACAGGGGGAGTGCGGAGCTGCAATTTGTATTGAAGGAAAAAGTTGGTGTAGAAGGATAAAGGGGTCAATGTACCCGCTACCATTTTGGCTCAAGATCGGGCCATGCGCCTAGAGAAGAAAGGGTGCTTGGTGTTTTGGGTTGGTTTGTTGTTGGTTGGTCCAGGGGATCAAGGGCTTCTGTTGGGGTTGACTGTTTTGTTCCCTGTCCTCCTTCGGTTGCCCCCCGTACCCTAAACCCTAAACCCTAAACCCTAAACCCTAAACCCTAAACCCTAAACCCTAAACCCTCAACCTTCCTGAAAGCTCCGGTTCGCCCTGGAGCCCTAGGTTCTCTTCCCTGGCCTTCGGCGCCAGCGTCGGCTACGCGGCCGCCGCCCTGGGTGCCGTGGCACGTCAGGCCACTGGGGGGTTGAACATGAATATCTGCACACATGTACAACAATTATTGCAATAATAGTAATACTAATAAAAAAATAATGCTAAAGATAGTACCAATAAGAATACTACTAGTAAAAATACTAATAATAATAATAGTAACATGCATGTCTTCTTCAGGGCGGTTGGTTGAAAATTGTGGCTTTGGGGTTAGGATTTAGTCTTGAGTGCCGAAGCTCAGGCTGTATGCGTTGGCGTTTTACGCGATTCGCCAGAAGTTCAGGGTGGTGTTTTGGGCTGGAGGGTGTGCCGTTCAGGCCTGGCGCCTTTCTTTTGGAGATGTCCAGGTGTGGTTGTTGATATAGCTTTGTTGCAGGGGATTCAACCCTAAAGCGCTGACCGGACCCTAAAACCTCGAACCCAAAGGCACGAAACTTCGCTTGAGGGTGTTGAGGACTCGAGAGTGGATCTTGTTGCTGCGGAGCTTCTTGCTAGGAACGATGTAGGTGTTTCTTCTAAGTTACGGTCCCCTTTTGGTACTTTATATCTAAGGCTCCGAGATAAACTTGAAATCCCCAGAAGGGGGGTTCGACGTTAGGGTGTTTTTTGGGTTTAGGGAAATCAGTTGGCTTGGGGCTCTAAGGGACGCGCGTGGGGACTGCCTCAAGACTCAGAGTGGAGAGGTGTAGTTCTAGTTGAGGGTGTGTTTTAGGTTCAGGATTTAGGTTGACTTAGGGCTGGGCTAAGTAGTTCGTGTTTCTTAGGGCTTACGGTTCAGGGATTTCCCGCCCCTGTCTGAATTGAATGCCGATCAGCCGACACATCGTGTGTCGGGCTCTGTGTAGGGATTACGGTTTAGAGTTGTAGCTTGCATAGTGCTGCTAGGGTTTATAGGGTTCGAGGGGCTAATAAGGTGTATAGAGTCTTCTGTAGGGCTCTTTGCATCTGCCCTTCCAGAGAAAAGACCAGACCCAATCTCGCACCCCCGAATCCTTGAAAATCCTGACAAAAAACGAGAACAGAATCGCTACTTTGCCAGACTAGCATGTACCTAGCGTTTATTGTGCTCCTAAACCCTCAACCAAAACCCTAAACCCTAAACCCTAAACCCTAAACCCTAAACCCTAAACCCTAAACCCTAAACCCTAAACCCTAAACCCTAAACCCTAAACCCTAAACCAAAACCCTAAACCCTAAACCCTAAGCCCTAAACCAAATCTGCCAGCCAGGGCCGGATTGCCCGAAAGGCCGAGGATGCGCCAGCCGTCGCCAGGAGAGGGGGCTTCGGAGGCTTTAGACGTCTTGGGCCGTACTTCATATAGGGGTCGGAAGAATTTGCGAGTAATATTCCCTTAGGATCCCTTTGTCATGAGTAACCCCCAAAAAACTTACTCTAATTATTCAGGCTATTTAGATGGCTGAGGCCGTACTTAGGGTCTTTTGAGACATGCCTGTGTCGATCCTTCATGTGTCTTATAGGGTTACTTCTGGCTTGGGGGCTTACAGTGCTTGAGGGACGGGCTTGAATGGTTAAGGTTTTCGGGTATGTTGAGGGCTTTGGGGGTTTACTGCTTCAGAGTTCGAGACAAGAGGCTCTCAGGGCGCTACTTCTTTAGGTTTTTGGCGGTTGAGGCCTCAAGATTTTTGTGCCTATAGGGCTCAAGACAACGCTAGGGGCTTTCATGATGTAGGGTTTACGGCTTTCGTGCTTTAGGATGCTAGACCCTAAGCCCGAGGATCAAGAACAATTCAGGGCTTTAACGTTTTGTTACTTCATGATCAGTTAGGTTTAAGGAGCGTGCAAAAACAGGGCCACTAATGCTTTCGGGCTGATATTCAGGGATGTTCAGCGATGAGTCGTTGCATTTCGCTTTCTTAGAGAAATCGCCATGGTTACTCTCAGTCACTCTCATCTTCGTTATCATTGTCATTTTCACTGTAGTTTCGGTGATATACGTACGTATTCATTTCTTAGGGTACCCTGCCATTGCGCGTGTCAGAGTTTCAGATAGGGCCGGGAAGTTCAAGTGCTGCTTGGCGTCCGTGGCTTCGGGGGCTTTCCGGTTTTTGGAGAGGGTGGTTTCGGGTTCAGGAAGGAGGGTACGAAGGGGTGTAGGGTTAAGGGTGTAGGGCTTGGGGCTGTTTGACAGGTCCTTGGTCTTTTGGGGCGCTTGAGGGTTTCTTTGGGGTTTCGGGTACCTTCATGAAGGGACCGCTTTAGGGGCGCTTAGGGTTTGTTTAGGGTTTCGGGTGCCTTCATGAAGAGGACCCCTGTGGCCTACCCGATCTTCACCTTCCGCTGGCTGGCCATCCATGCCCTGGTGGTGCCCGGCCCAGCCTCTTTCCCCCCTGACTGCCGTTTCGCGCAACACCCAAAGTTGCCGCATTTCGTAGTTTTTTGAAGCCACCCCTGCTTTCCGAAACAAAGCACCTTCTAGGGCACCCTCGATTTTTTCATCGCCTTCAGGCACTGTCTTCACACCCTGAAATTGGTGAAAGCCCTGAAGATGAAGACATTCGGGCCCCCGGAGTCTGGAGTTCAGACTTTTTGAGAATTGAGGGGCACGCAAGCACGCAAGCGTTTTCGGGGCCCGGAGCCGTTCGAGATGATGAGCCGCTGGGTGCAGTGGGGTTTCGGGTGTTTAGGATTTAAGCTTTGCGGGCCGCAGGCGCTGAGAGGTGACTGGGGGTTGACTATAGATGGGGTTTTTTGGGACAAAGGCCTAAAGCATCTATCAGCCTCATAGGCCATAGACCTTGAAACCGCCCCTCAAGTTCACAAGCCGTAAGCCATCAAAGCTCTCCAGATTCCCACCGTCTTCTTCCTCGGCGCGATCAGCTCCATGCAGTTCATCCAGCGCTGAGTTAGCAGGGCAGAAGGCAGCTCGGGTCCATAGCCTAGAGTAGGGTTTAATCCCTAGACCCTAAGGAACCCTGAGCCCAACAAGCCCCCAATTCCCAATCTTTTCCAAGCCCCTCAAATTCTTCAACCCGACAGCAGAGTGAACTTGGGCTAGGCCTTTTGGTGGCGATTTTACTCGTGGCAGCATGATTGCGCGACGAAAATGAGGAGATGGCTGAGGGTTCGGGGCTTTGGGGTTAGGGCTTAGGGCTTAGGGTTTGAGGTTGAGGGTTTAGGGAACCCCAAACCCGAAACCTAGAGTTTGCGAGGGGTGGGTATTCACCAAACCTAAGCTCGAGCCTCCATTGCAACATTGGAGGAGTTGGTTGGCTTCTGGGGTGCGGGGCCAAGGGCTTAGGATTTCGGCTTTTCTCGCGTGTTGGCAGTGTTGACTTGGATGAGCATACCCTGCACCGATTTGCTCTATATACGGCTCACAGCTTCCTTCTGAATATGAAGGCTCAGCAAAGCCAAGAAGCTTCAGCAAGCTAGGGTGTACGACAGGCTTTTGGAAGCCTCCATTCGCCTTAAGCTCAACTGAAACCCTGTGACTGTCGCCCTATACCCTAAGCTAACTCCAAACCCTAAACCCTCAACTCCTGCCGTCGAGAAGCTGAACACAGAACCCCGAAACCCAACTGCGACATCACGCAAACTCCAAATCCGGCAAGCCATCCGGCAGCTTCCCTTAACCGTCCATTTTGTCGGGGGCTGCCGATGCTAGTGAAGGCTAAACCCTAAACCCTAAACCCTAAACCCTAAACCCTAAACCCTAAACCCTAAGCCCTAAACCCTAAACCCTAAACCCTAAACCCTAAACCCTAAACCCTAAACCCTAAACCCTAAGCCCTAAACCCTAAACCCCCCCAAAAAAGCCCTACACTACGATAAGGGACCCGGTCGTTTCCTTCGCCTGGCGTCGGCCATGGCCTACGCGCGGCGCTCGGCGAAGCGCGGGTGTGGATCCTGGGCTGCTCGCGGGTGCAGAGCCTTTAGGGGTTTAGGGATTTTGGGGTTTAGGGTTTGGGGTTTAGGGTTTAGGGTTTAGGGTTTAGGGTTTAGGGTTTAGGGTGAGGGTTCATGGCCATATTCCCCAAATGAGTCAGCCAAAGAAATGCGCATTCTAAGCCTCCCTTGCATCAGTTCCTTATGATGGGCTACTGTTAGAGAACGGAATTATAGAGTCTCCTTAGGACATGTATTTACCCATGCAAGGGTGCATAACAAGAGGGCATAACAAGCATAGGCTTTGACTGTATATGGTCTTCGTGAAAGCTGTTGCAAGCTGCCATAGTCTGGTTGCACAGTGCCTGCTTAATGTTTCTTTGCAATGGCAAGTTCATGTACAAGTTGCCAAAATATGGCTATGTCCCGCAACATGGTCTCCTACAAATGGAAGCAATAAAGACTCCTTCGAATGGAAACTTAACTTAAGTTCCCAAACCCTAACTACCCTAACCCTAAACCCCTAAAAATTTAAAAAATGCCTATAAACCCCGTAACTCTAAACCCATAAACGGTTCAAAAAGGCCCTTGACACCTTTAAACCCCTAAACCCTGAACTCTGGTAGTTCATAGTTTAAGTTCAACCCCCTAAAACCCTTCACCCTGAACCCTAAACCCTAAACCCATCAGCCCTCTCAGCCCTCTCAACCCTCTCAACCCTCTCAACCCTCTCAACCCTACAAACCCTAAACTCTAAAGCCTAAAGCCTAAAGCCTAAAGCCTAAAGCCTAAAGCCTGAACCCTAAACCCTAAACCCTAAACCCTAAACCCCAACCCAAGGATGGCCTTGGTGGGCCTTGGCCTCTGTGGCAGTGCTGTGCATGGCGGCGATCTCCATCCGGTGCCTTGTAAGCCCTGAGAACCCTCAACCCCTCAAACCCTAAACCCTAAACCCTAAACCCTAAACCCTGAACCCTGAACCCTAAACCCTACAGGACCAAGTTGAACCTCAAGACCCTTTTGAGGCCTGAACCAAGAATCCTAAGCTTCTTAAGTCAGCCGACCATGAGTTCAGACAAGTCCCGGCTTTCCCACTCCCAGATGAAAGCCAGGGTTTGCTTGCTGGTCCTCGGCAGGGGACGAGGGACTGGGTGTGCCCTTGGGCTCAAAAACAAACTTCAAAAACATAAGTTGCGGCTGGACATCTTGCTGCAAATGAAATGCCTATGTCATGAGAGTTGTCTTGGTTAAAAACAATTTCTTGGGTTGTTCTGGTCTTCAAAACAAAGACGGGTCAACTGGCTTGAGATCTAAAACGGTGCTTCCCATTTTCCCTACAAACAGCAAGATACAAAATCATGTCTGCTGAACAGAACGGGAGTTTTTTCTATATAACTATGTGGACACATGTGGTGTTCACTTCAAATTTTCCCGAAAATGTTTGCAGAAACTCATGAGGGTCTTTTTAGATCTCAAACCCTAGTGACCGGCTTTTTTTGAAGCCAGAACAGCCCAAGAAATCGTTTTGACCAGGAAACCTCTCATGACATAGGGCTTTTCTGTTGGAAGCAACATGTCCAGCCGCAGCTTTTATCGCCCAAGGGCAAGCTCATTCCCTGCTGAGGACCAGCAAGTTTGGGGTTCAGGGTTTCAGTAGGGTGTCTACGGCCCCAGAGGATGCTTAGCATCGCGGGCTTCTTCGACCAGCGCCCGCTGACTTCGATCCGCATCCGAGCTCCCCTGCGCGAGGAGTGGGGTTACTCTCCTCCAGAGTGTGAGGGGAAGCCTTAGGGATTGCAGGGCTGAACCCTGAACCCTGAACCTGAACCCTGAACCCTGAACCCTGAACCCTAAACCCTAAACCCTGAACCCTAAACCCTAAACCCTAAACCCTAAACCCTAAACCCTAAATTCTTAGGGGTTTAAGAGCCGGCTCTCAGGGCTCTGGCTCCCGAAGGCTCGCAACGCAGGATTGCGCGTGGAGGTCTTATCAAGGACTTTCCGGTGAGGCTTTAGGGTTTAGGGTTTAGGGTTTGGGGTTTGGGGTTTAGGGTTTAGGGTTTAGGGGGAATATAGTGTTCAGATAGGTTGTTACTAGGTTGAGTTAGGGTTGATTTCTGGTTTGTTGAGGGTTTAATAATTGTAAACGCTTGCGCGCGCCGCCTCGGCAGCCGGGCCGGCCCCAGGACAGGAAAGGAGGAAAGAGGGTTTCGCAAAAAAAGGGGAGGAAGGGCAGAGGGGTCAAAGAAGGGGGGGGGGGGGGGGGGGGGGGGGGGGGGGGGGGGGGGGGGGGGGGGGGGTTTTTGAGGCACTCCCCCTGTAGGAGCCACCGACAAGCGGGACCCTCCACGGCATCGGTTTGCAGCTCCTCCAAGGGATTGGGGGGGGTCCCACAGGGCGGGGGGGGGGGGTGGCGTCAGAAAATTTGGTATGGGGGGAAGGGTTGGGTTAGGGGGAAGGAGGCCCGATCCGGGTCTGCTTGTTCCAGACGCTTCTCGGCAGGAAGCCGAGGCGAATTAATCAGGGTTTACAATTCGGGTGTGGGGTTTAGCTTTTCGATTTTTGGTGTCCGGCTGTCTCTCAGGTTCCAGGATGTCGGATCCTTTCCTCTCCTGGGGCTCGGAGCTCTCAAGGCCCCAGACGGCTTTAGACCCCTTCTGGGATATGGGATGTCTTCCCTTGTTGGGGTATCAGAGGATCTTACGTAGGAATACGTTTTCCGAGGTTGAGGGGGGCCGAGCTGAGACCCCTGCAGTTCAGCAGCTAACCGTAAACTCTTGAGCCCTAAACCCTCAACCCTAAACCCTCAACCCCAAACCCCAAACCCTAAGCCCTCAACCCTCAAACCCCAAACATTAAACCCCCAACCCCAAACCCCAAACCCTAAACCCCAAACCCCAAACCCTAAACCCCAAACCCCAAACCCCAAACCCTCAACCCCAAACCCCAAACCCTAAACCCCAAACCCTAAACCCTAAACCCCAAACCCTAAACCCTAAACCCAAACCTTAAACCTAGAGGAGCTCCCAAAGCTGACTCCCGACACCAGCCATGCAGTGGCACCGGCTAAAGTGCTGCCGGTTGTGGAGGCGAAGCGGTTTGGGGCTTGGGGTTTGCGGTTTGGGGTTTAGGGTTTAGGGTTTAGGGCAAGCCCTTGGCCCAAAGTAGGGTTTGGGATTTACGACTTCTCAAGTACCCGAACCCTACCGGCCTGTCGCTACAAGCCAAAGGCATCGATAGCAGAAGCACTTGCCAAGATCAGAACCAGGAGTTTAAAGAGAACGAGCTGCTCACGTGGGTGGCTTTCTTTCAATCGCCCGGGGCCCTGAGCCCTGAATCCTAAACCTAAATGGGTTTCAGCTACTGCACTCCCCTATGCCTTAAAACCCTAAACCCTCAACCCTCAACCCTAAACCCTCAACCCTCAACCCTGGACCCTCAACCCTCAACCCTCAACCCTCAACCCTCAACCCTCAACCCTCAACCCTCAACCCTCAACCCTCAACCCTCAACCCTCAACCCTCAACCCTCAACCCTCAACCCTCAACCCTCAACCCTCAACCCTCAACCCTCAACCCCCTCAACCCTCAACCCTCAACCCTCAACCCTCAACCCTCAACCCTCAACCCTCAACCCTCAACCCTCAACCCTCAACCCTCAACCCTCAACCCTCAACCCTCAACCCTCAACCCTCAACCCTCAACCCTCAACCCTCAACCCTCAACCCTCAACCCTCAACCCTCAACCCTCAACCCTCAACCCTCAACCCTAAACCCTAAACCCTACAGGATACCAGGATCGACTGTTCTGCAGCTTTCGGAACAACCACACAACAGAGCCCAGTTGGGACTAGAATTTGGGGTTGAGGGTTTTCGGTGTGATCTTTGTAGAGTAGACACACGCAGCAAAGTGTATCCTAATTGCCACCTTCAGCAATTGTCATACCCCAAGCCCTGAACCCTCCTCCTGCTCCTCCTCCGCCTCGGCTCCCTGAAGGTGGTGGAGCTGTCTGAAAGCAAACCTGCCTGGAGCGATGTGGCTGGAAACCTCGCGCCCGCCTCGGTGGTAACACGAAGCTAGGACGCCCAAATTCTTTGTGGTTTCGGGATCCGTCACAAAAGCTAGTTTGAAACCGCCTAAAGTACCACCTTCTTTTCTTCAGAATTCCTTTGGAACCTAGGAAAGGCGCCAGGAGAGGACTGGCTCAAGGACCGGTGGCAAGCAGCGAAGAACATGCAGGGAGTACCCATTGCAGGTGGGAGGGCCGGAGGGGTTTTTGAGGCTTGGGAGGACACCAAAAAACTTTCAACGTCCCTTTGTAACCCTCCAGAAACCCTACCCAAACAACCAAAGTATCTGCAGGAATGGTCCTTCTATGGTTCATTTTGGTTTCTGTATACATACTTTGGGGTTCCAGGGAAACCCTAAGTTCTGAACTCACGATTCTCAACTCTTGGCTCTGCGTGTAGGCGAGCACTGGCTTTGCATTGACCTTGAGCGCGAGACGTCGCAGCTGAGCATCGTGGAGCTGCCTTGCTCTGGTATAGAGTCTAGTGCCCAACAGGGTTTAGGGTTTAGGGTTTAGGGGTTTAGGGTTTAGGGGTTTAGGGTTTAGGGTTTAGGGTTTAGGGTTGTTAGCCGTAAGCCCAGAACTGTAAGCCCTTAAACAGATCCAGGTTGGACTTCGAAGCCGCGCATGCAAAAGCCTACGTCCTGGAGACGGCGAGCAGCAGCAGGGGGCCTTGGGAGGCTCTGGTCGAGGTGCCTTGGGGTGTAGGCGGTGTAGGGTCTAGGGTTCAGGGTTCAGGGTTTAGGGTTTAGGGTTTAGGGTTTAGGGTTTAGGGTTTAGGGCTTAGGGCTTGGGGTTTAGGCCTTAGGGTTTAGGGCTTAGGGTTGGTTCCCTTCTGTTCTGGAGAGCTCTAGGGATTCAGCTTGCCGAGCCTAGGGCCTAGGATCCCCAGCCACGTTCAAAAGTAAAAAGGGGGGGGGTTTTAGAACCCTTACACAACCTTAGAAACCCCCAAACCGCCTAGAAGGTCCCCTAAACCCAGCACTTGTTTTGGGGAGCTTCTGTGTAAGGTACATTGAAGCAAGGTTCACAAGCAAGGGCCTTGGTACTGCCCCAGTCGTGGGTTAGGGTTTAGGGTTGAGGGACCCTAACCCCCCCCCCCCCCCCCCCCCCCCGTCAACCCCAAACCCTGAACCCTCAACCCCAAACCCTCAACTCTCAACCCCAAACCCTACCCCGAAAAAAGTATCAAAAGAAGTCAACAATGAAAAGAAGGTGCAGACCTGCTGCACTGGCAACTTGAAAGTGAGTACCTCTGGGCACCATGTGGTGCACAAGCTCACGGCGCCACTCGGATGCCTTCCGGCAAGCCTTGTATCTTCTTAAAAGGGGTTTAGGGTGCAGGTTTTAGGGCTTGGGGCAAACGGGCAAGTTGCTCTTTTTTGTCCCACCTTTTTTTGAAGGCCCTACAAACCCGTTACGCCCTAAACCCTAAGCCCTAAACCCCAAAACCCTGGACCGAGGCCAAGTGAGAGGAGTTGGATGGCCCAGCGCTTTGTGCGGGTGCGCTTCACCAAGTTGGCCACCATGTGGGGCGTGTCTTGGAGGTTTAGGGTTTAGGGTGCCCCAAGCTCTCAAAAACCTCAAGCCCCCTACACTCCATAGCCCCAAAACGCAACTCCGAATGCCTTGACCCCAGACTTCAAAGCTAATCGCACCCTAAACCTTACGCCCGAAAGCCTTGAAAGAACCTAAATCGCCCCTGAAGACCCCTTAGAGGCCCCTAAAGCCCCCCCTAACCCTAAACCCTAAACCCTAAACCCTAAACCCTAAACCCTAAACCCTAAACCCTAAACCCTAAACCCTAAACCCCAAACCCCAAACCCTAAACCCTCCGACGTGGAAGCTGCTGAGGTTTCAGTTTTCCGCTTCCGCCTCTTCGGCTCGCATGTCAGTGCGCTGGAGAAGTAGCCGCCCGAGAAAAAAGTCAGGGTGTTACGTTGGGATGTCCTCAATAGGGATTATAGTGCCGCTTACAGTAATCCCTATTAAGGGCTGTTGGTAGAAGGGGGAACATCCCAAGTTTTACGGTTCAGTTGATTCTCGTGCGGGGAAGGGGGAAAGATCGAGCTACGGGGCTTCCGGCTTCAGGCTTATACGCCCGAGGTCCCTGGGTTTCGTGATCGGCTTCAGCAACTCGAGCCATTGGTGTTTAGGAGCCTCAAATCCCTAAGGCCCTAAGGCCTCTCAAGCTTAAATCCTGCAAGCCCCGAAACTCCGAAACGCCTAGACCCTAAACCCTTCAGCCCTAACCCTGGGCACCCGCGAGCCCTAAAAGCCTTTTAGCCCCAAGGGCCCTTTAAGGCCCACATCAGCTTGTTCCACGCTCGGGTCCCGATGCCCCCAGAAAGGCCTGTGGCCCGTCACCCTCAAACCTCGAAGGCCTGTGGTCCTTCACTGCAGCAGCCTTTGTCAAACGGGCCTCCGACTTCTGGCTTTGCGGGTGTAGTTGAGGGTTCAGGCTTTAGGGTGAGGGAGATTAGGCAATTGTTTCCCGTCCGATCTGCAGACCCTCAACCCTGAAAACCCTCAACTCCTTAAAAGCCTTGTAGCCCTCAAGCCCTAAACCCGAAACCCTATAAACCCAAAAATGCTCTAAACCCCAAACCCTATCAGCCCCTAAACACCAACAAAATCCAAAAAGCCTGGTCGCCCTCGAAAGCCCTTGGGCTTTTGTGACGGCCGGCCGCCTGCTGCCGCTGCAATGCATGTGCCCACGGAATCCAAGGAGCGGAGCCCTTGGGTTTTGGGGCCTTTGGGGCTTTTGGGAAGGGGGGGCGTTTGGGGCTTAGGATTTTGGGTTCAGGGTTTTCCCCAACCCCAAACCCTAAACCCTAAACCCTAAACCCTAAACCTCAGGGATTTGGGATTTGGGACTTTGGGAGGCGTGGAAGGGGGTTTAGGGTGTAGGACTTCAGGGTTTAGGAACTTCGGGCTTCAAGGTCCAAGGAGTCGAGATGTCGACCATGCTTGGGGTATAGGGCTTAGGGTTTTGGGTTTCGGGTTTTGGGTTTTGGGTTTAGGCTTCAGGGCTTTGTGCGCTTTAGGGGGCTGCAGGGGCTTAAGGCATAGAATAGAAGGTTTGTTTTGTAGAATTTCGGGTTTTGATGTCCAAAATGAATTTTGAAAGTTTTTTGTGCATTTCTGTCATTCGGTGTGGTTTGGAGATCTTTGAAATAAACAGTTCAGCTCTCCTTCCTTCTGGCTTCCGCTTCTGCGGTATTTTGTTAGGGTTCGGTGGGCGGGGGCACACCGACGGCCTTGAGATGCAAGTGGGCTCGCTCAGAGCAGGCATACTACGGTGCTCCTTGTTGCAGTCTCGGCACCGGGACGAGGCCCTTTGAAGCTTGTCTGCGCGCCTGGGAATGAAAGAGATGATGCTCATTCCATCAACAACGTCACCATCCGCGATGAAGATGATGCCCCCCCCCCCCCCACCTTTTCTCTCCGGCGGTAGGGGATGAGGATGATGATCATGCCTGGCGAATTGCCTGCTAGGCTCCGCCAATTCCTGGCTCCATTGGCTCAGAGTGACAAAGCGTTGCGAGAACCAGTTGCCTTCAGCACATTCTTAGACTTCTGAGGCCAGGGCAAACTCCCTCATTGGCAATTTTTTAAACAGATGATGTGTCTGTATGTCCTTGTTCTAGAATTCTAGGAATTCCGAGAGGTGCGGCTTTCTGTGACCGTTCGAAGTTACGCTGAGGAGACTTATTGCGAAGGAGCCTGCCTCCTGCGGCAGCTCAGGGACTCTGAGCAATCGCTGAGTGATGCGATTCGCAATGCTGCCTTCCCACAAGCCCCCTACCGCAGTCCAAGACAGGAGACATCGTTTTGGTGCACGGTGATGAGATTCAGCAATCGAACTGATTCAGGCACAATTGCACTTGGAACAAGGGCAAGGTGGAGGTGGCTGGATGCACATTCCACCATCTACGAATCCTGTGAGGGACGTGGGCAGATCATCTTCACGATTGCCGCCTGCAACTGTTGCTTTTGCATCCCTGTGAGGGGCATACTGGTGTGGCACGCTTGCGGGCCGTAATGGCGCATGCTTTACGGTGGCAGAATTCAAAAGAACATGTGCGGATGGGATGTTGCCAGTTTGTTTCGGGACACTTACCTTGGAGCAGTAAGTCTCAGGGCTTGTTCGATTGGGTCTAGACAATGCTTGTGGTGCGTTTTATGCGCAATCTGCTAGGGTTCAAATTCCAGTGGGGCTGCAGGAGACGAAGTACGCCGGTTGTTGCAGGGTCCGCGCCAACACCAGCTGCTATTCTAGTCGGACCCGAGAACACAATGGGCTACCACACCCGTCTGTGCATGGCCTAGATAAAATGCCCAATCTGGGCGTGTTGCGGCAGATTGCAAAGTTGCTGCACCTTGTGAGGTGGCCTGGGCTAGTCTCACTCAATGCCCGTCAACACTTATGATAAGAAAGGCTCAAAGGTCCACGAGAGTCTGGGACATTTCTTGACTAGGCAGATTTTTAAAGAAAGGTAGATTTGAGGTGAGAGTCTTGAAAACATTTCTTGTTCAACCCAGCCCTCCAGCACTCCCGCATCCTCCCGCCCTCCAAGCCCTCCCGCCCTCCAGCCCTCCAGCCCTCCAGCCCCCCAGCCCTCCAGCCCTTCAGACGTGCAGAAATTTCACGTGTAGAAGTTGCAACGAAACCTGCCTCAGGAATCCCCAACGTGTAGACATTGCAACGAAACCAAGACGTGTAGAAGTTGCAACGAAACCTTCCTCAGAAACTCAGGACGTGTAGAAATTGAAACAAAACCTTCCTCAGGAATCCCAGGTGTGTAGACATTGCAACGAAAACATCCTTCAAATCCAAGACGTGCGCAAGTTGCAGCGAAACCTTCCTCAGAAACTCAGGACGTGTAGAAATTGCAACGAAACCTTCCTCAGGAATCCCAAGCATGTAGACATTGCGACGAAACCATCTTTTCAAATTCAGCACATATAGAAGTTGCAGCGATACCTTCCTCAGAATCTCAGGACGTGTAGAAATTGCAGCAAAACCTTCCCCAGGAACCCCAAACGCGTAGACATTGCACTCAACCATCCTTCCAAATCCAAGACGTGTAGAAGTTGCAATGTAACCTTCCTTGGCAACCCAGGACGTGCAGAATTTGCAACGAAACCTTCCTCAGGAATCCCAATCGCGTAGACATTGCAACGAAAACATAAGCTGCAACGAAACCTTCTTCAGATCAGGACGTGTAGAAATTGCAACGAAGCCTTCCTCGGGAATCCTACACGTGTAGACATTGCAACGAAACCATCCTTTCAAATCGAAGAGGTGCACAAGTTGCAACGAAACCTTCCTCAGAATCTCCGGACGAAACAAGCAATTGAATTTCAAGACGTGTGGAAGATGCAACGAAACCTTCCTCAGAAACTCAAGGCGTGTATAAATTGCAACGAAACCTTCCTCAGGAATCCCAAACATGTGGACATTGCAAGGAAACCATCCTTTCAAATTCAAGACGTATCAAGACGTGTAGAAGTTGCAGCGAAACCTTCCTCAGAAACTCAGGACGTGCATAAATTGCAACGAAACCTTCCTCAACAACCCCAAACGTGTAGACATTGCAAGCAAACCATCCTTTCAAATCCAAGACGTGTAGAAGTTGCAACGAACCTTAGCCTTCCAAGCACCCAGCTTTACCTGCACCACCGCGTT